GGCAAGTCATTCGTAAATCAATGGGCTTCATCACCAGCGTGAGTACCACACTGTAGGTCCTCCATCGTCTCATTCGCCTCCTTAAGCCCGACTATACAGCAGTAACGTCCTCCACAGGGCTCGCAGCCTCCCATCTGGGCGGCCAGACCGTAGTCGACCTGTGCTGGTCTGCTATTTATACTCACGATACAGATACACAGTTTTGCCGGTATTGGTTCCGGCGCGCGAGATGCACCCGCCCTGGCTCAGAAGATCAAGCGGTCACCTGAGCTGTAGGGCGGCGGTCCCTTATGGTTGTGATCCACCCTCTATTTCAGTCTCGGTCGTTGGAAACGGGTGAAGACTCTTATCATTGACGAGATTTCCATGCTCGAGGGGAGACTCTTCGACAAACTGGAGCAAATCGCTCGGCTGGTCACCTTGCTTCAGGTGTGTGCTTTAGAGTTCCTCAGTAGGTACGCCAAGACAATCGGCCCTTCGGAGGGATACAGCTGGTGCTCACTGGAGACTTCCTGCAGGTGAGGCGGTCCCGGTCGTTGCTGAATAGCCGAGGACTGCCCTTGGCAGTTACCTCCTGTCAGTCAGACCATGCCCAATGGGAAAAAGGAGGAACCCTCATTCTGTTTTGAAGTGAGCCAACTAGACTACCTTGAGTCCAAACTCGGTAATGCTAGGCCGCCTCCTGGAGGAAGTGCATTCATAAGACGATGCTTTTGAGGGAGGTCAAGAGACAGGAGGGAGATGCAACATTCACGACGGTGAAGTGGAAACGCCTTGAGGCCTACAATGAAGGTCCGCATTTTCAGATGCTGAATCAGATCCGTCGAGGTATATGTTCCCAAGAGACCCAAGATATCCTCTCCCTGGTTGCACAACGGAGGCACAAAGTGCTCACAGGGGGCGTGGTGGCATCACAGCTACTGCCGACGAGGAGAGAAGTGGATGCAATCAATGAGCGAGAGTTGGCACGATTATCCACACCGCCGATTACCTTTACAGCTATGGACACAGTTTATGACTCTACCAGTCTGAACTTGGACGTCATGTGTTCAGCCCGTGCCAAGGTATGGTTGTGCTCATCTCGTCAGCCGTGGTATCATATCTATCAAGGTGGTGCTTAAAGTCGGAGCTCAAGTTATGTTGACAAAGACCCTCTCCCCTCAGAAGCGGCTTGTGAACGGAAGTCGTGGCATCATCGTTCGGTGAGTACCCTTACTGGTGAAGTGTACATTGATCTCTCGAAAGGTTCACTAAGACCCCCTGCCTGCCGATTGTCAAGTTTATCACCACTGGAGATGAGGAGGTTCTCCGCTACCCCGTGTGGGATAACGTTCAGCTTGGTCCTCCGGTTTCAGATAACTATCCCATTAGATGAGTGGGTCTTTTATAACACAGCCTCTACTGGTGGACGAGCAGTCGAGCTTGGGCGGCGACGACAAATCCCTCTGCAGCTTGCCTGGGCTATAAGTATCCACAAGAGTCAAGGTATGACCTTGGACTGCGCCGTCATCAAGCTCGATACCATTTTCGAGTAATACGACTCGCACCATCCTGTGTCGACCTTGCATGTCTCTGGTAGATACGGTCAGGCCTACGTGGCGCTCTCTCGGTGCAGGTCCTTGGAGTCGGTCAGTATCACTTCCGCTAGTCGCAATTTCAAAATGGTGGGTATCTCAGGTCACGCCTTCGCGTGAGTGTCGTTCTTCAGGCCATCCGAGCTAATCCGAAATGCCTGAAGTTTTATGAAGAGTTGGATGATGCAGATTTAATTCATACCAAGACTCATGAGTAAAACCATTGCAGGCGAACAACGTTACCTCATTGCAAAGAGCAGACAAACTGTTGTGTAGATAGTAGTGAGTTCGATGATTGAACTTCAATCGTAGTCTGAATATATTGAGTATATAAGGTATCCATTCAACTTTCTCCCTTGAAAGACCTACAGTCCAGCCTTGTGAGGCCGACCCCCTGATTGGTCACCACACTCTGCGACAAGTGGTTGAGAGACTTCATACAGCCGCTGTTGGGTTATCTCCTGGCTATGCTCTTCACTAATGAGTCGCCTCCACACACGATCGGCCTGGTATCAGGTCCACCACTGGCTGCGAGTTTGAACACGGCCTGCCAGCGCGGAACATGCCCCCGACGTGTGGTTTGACTCCTTATCTTGGATTGAGTTAACGCTACGGACTCAATCATTAGTCGTAGGAATCCTACTAACATAAACTTGTATGCACTAAAAATGACAAGAGAATTGCAATTTTAAAGTGAAACGTTTCCATCATCGATGGGAACCACTCGGTGACCGACGCGATTGTTGTCCGACGAGATTGTCGGCGGCAATGCATTTCAACCCTTTAAATCTGACTCGATGGGTGAGGGGATACCGGCGATAGCTGGATGATGGATGACCATCATCAGCATATAACTTTCACCAGGGGGTGGTATTATATATAGTTGATCAGCCATCGTCATATTCCGGAAGGGGTCGAACTAACGCAACACTGCCAGAATCGCCTGCATTTCGGATACGAATGTATCTAGTTACGAGGAAGCATGCAATGCAAACGATCCAGGCGCTGCAGCTAGACGCTCTTGCAGGGTTAAAATCTTCTGGTCTTTAATTCTAACCTGACAACGTTACTGATGTCGTTGTATACAGTTTTTTCAATTTCTTACCAATTGCTCCAACTTGGATATTTTCCTTGTCAACAATTCAACGCATTCCCTGAGCTCGCTAATGGTCCTATCCTTCTCAGCCATGATAGCGTCCTTCTCCCTATCAGGCATGTTATCTCGTGTTCGTTCGCTCTTCACCTGACTATGTCCATTTTAGCAGACTGGTTATTGAGATGGATCACCTTCGGACTTATGTCTGGCTTTGAATTAGCTCGCGCGCCACTCGAAGAGTTCTCCGACCTGGCCCTCGGGGTCCTCTGCTCGCTGTTACTGCGAAATTGACGGCCTTGTCCTCCATCCCTCGAAGCTTCGACCTAGATCACAGAATGTGCATAGCGGCTGTTGCCCGCAACTAGCTCACCAGTCGTGGGCGAACCAGGGCTAGCACTCTCTCGATCGAACCGGGAATAGCCTGAAGTGTGGTGTGAACTGCATCGTGCAGGGAGTATCGAGCTCACTCTTGCGCAATCTTCCACATCATCGGGATGTAATAGGAATCCCATTCTGCGGAAGACCTGTCGTCTTACAAGGTGGAGAACTTGGGAACTAACGTGTTGCTACTTTCTGATTCAACGTGTTCCAATTGTACATCTTCTGTGTGAGTGCATTGGCTTGAGAGTAGTTATGGAGCTCAACTATCTTCGGTATCTGATTATCGCCCATCATTTTCAATACGCATAGGATGCGACCCCACATAGTGAGCAACAGTCTCTGCCATCATGACACCATCTGCAAAGTCTCGGGATATGTTACGCTTCGGCCGGGACAGTGGTATATCATCCACCTATGAAAACTTCAACCCCAGCGACAGGAACAGACACAGACGACCCCACCCAGTTGTAAAGCCTTTGAATCGCATCGTCATCAGCCAGCGGCGGTGCTCGAGACTCGTGAGCAACCATGGTCAGCCGAGATGAATTCAGAGTTGCCCTTTGATGATTTACAACACGAGACAAGAGTCGACTATGATCCATAGAAATAATGGTCACGGAGTATCAGCACCACGATCCCCAAAATATCATCTACAGAGTGGTCTTCTTAACCTTGCTGGCCCAGGTCATAGAAAGGCTCTTGTTTGTCGCCTCAGAACGTGAGACGAACTCTCTAGCAACCTCGTTGAAGACCCGGGCGCGGCCTTCCATAAACACCGGTACCTCATTCATGACGGCATTATAGCCAGCAGTCCAATAAAAATCAGCGTATAAAACCCGATTGGTCTCGGCACGCTTCAACTGGTCTCTAGTAGTGCCTCGAATGATGCCGCCTATACCACCAGGGCCACCGTGTTTCCGAGCCGACCGCAGCTTAGCGATGGCCTTGTCTCGATGCTTACCGAGCTCGACAACCTTCTCGAGTGAGGCCTTCATAGCCGCACAGTCTGTAAGCTCTCGACTGAGCACTGAGGCCAACAAGTCGAAATGTGCGGCATCAGCTGGGGCGCTGATGATGTTTTTGACTTCAAAAAAAGCATCGGACAAATCAAGCCTCTGCGGAGAACCAGGCAGACCCTGTGCAAGGGCCAGAGCTTGGCCTGAGCCCTGCTCATCAATGGTCTTGCAATCAGAAAATTTGTAATGAATTGTGCTCAAGGCAGCGTTGCCAGTCTTGTAATTAGAAGCTGCTGTTCGGAGCATCGTGAGCAGCTGATTCAGAACTTTACAATGGTCGCTGAGATAGGTCTTGGACGTTGCTACCATCTCCGTGACATTCACAGCGCTATCGGAAGCCGCACTAAGGCACGTAGCGAGCAAATTCAGCTCAGATGATCAGACGACAGACCTACTCATTCGCGCCTTCAACTGAGTTCTCATGGGACTCGCCATCACTCGAGTCGTCTTTGGCGAGCCTCTCAACCTCATCGTTAGGACCGTTCGACGCCACCTGACGTCTATTGAATCTGAAGGGCGAATTGAGGAGGAGCCATAACGTCTATAACAACTCACGTTGGAATTGACTTCGCCGCGAACGCTATCTTATATTCATCCAGAACTTCCTCCGGTGGACGGTTCGAGAAATCCTAAGAACGCAACTGCATGCTTTACCTCGTGATGGCCACCATACCCTTTTCAAAGCATCATAGGTACTCTCAGGAGTAGCCAAGAAGGCTGCCATCATCGGGGAGTACATGATGAAAGGGCGAGAGCAACACCTATGACAGCATCGGTTGGAAGAGCCCTAGCTCGCCTCGCTGACCTGCTGAGGAACTCTTCGAGAGCTTGGCGCCTGATCTCAGTCACATTATCGACTGGTTTCATGTGTTGCATCATCGCCGTGGGAGCCGTCTTCATCATCACCTTGATCTGGCTTTTACAGGTCAGGGGAGGCACGAACGCCCCAGGATACGCTTTAACCTGATGCATATGTAGACCCGGCACCATCAACGACACGTACGAGCTCACGCCTCAACACAGTGAAGTCGGTGAACCTCTTACGGGTCGCGGAGGTAACTCGGCCAGAGGAATCAGTTATCTAAAATTATCATGATAGCGGATAACGCGAGGTGTCCCTTACCCGAACTGAGAATGTGGTATACCTGTGCATGCCAGACCTTCTAGTATCTGGCTCGCCCACTGCTGCTGACCAATTGACTCCCCTGTTGAGGCAGCAATAAGGACTCTACATAAAGGAGGTATTACTGATCCATAGATGCTGATCGGAAGAGCTTGTTATATTCATAAGTGGTGACGGTAACTGCAGGGGCCATCGAGATGAGATCTAATCGCAAGTCGCATACCGTTGAGATCGCCAGTACTGCGAGCACTAATGTTGCCGTTCATGGGGGAGTTGCCTTCATCGCTTCTGCTTGTATGCTCGACCTCATCATCAGACAAGCTGGCGGACTTCCACTCTGAGGTGGGGCTCTGCCAGTCCGCAGACCCCTGCAGGGTGGGCGAGTCCGCGGCTCGGGGGCTCAGATGGTGCACTTCGGGCAACCTGAGGTCCTGGTTGAGGGGCGAGCAAGCATCTTGGGTGTTGGACATGACCGGAAACAAAAAAACACTACTGGGACGAGTTGGCAAGTTCCAACGCAGTACTCCGGTACTAAAGGAAACGGACAATGTGCTAAGAAACTTACCGTACATTCTCAGACCAGAAAAGAGTTGCTATAAAATACAAAACAGAATGCTATCATTAAGTTTATAGACACCTGTTGGTGGCCCTACCACACCTCAGGAGAATCATCTGATTTCGGTGCCGGCCACTTCGACTGGAATGTCAATCTCATCATCATCGTCATCATCATAGGACTCCCGAGGAGCCACATCGGCCTCCAACTTGAGTGTCCGAGAAATGATACTATCTGGTCCTCTTACAGTGTCAACCCACTCTAAAGCCATCTTATTGTAGGATGCCACCTGATAGGAGATCTTGGATCGTCACTGATAGCGCCGCTCCATAGCAATCTTATGAAAATGTAACACATTACAGAGTATTCAATAACCGACTAGGACGACGTCTATGCTGCTAGAATTAAAAAAAGTAAAACTTCAATTACAGATCAAGATAAACAACATCACCCACGAGAGCTGCTGCTGGAGAGGATCCTCAGCCGACATCTGGTCCCGGGTAATAGTACCTTCCTCTGTATGAACTCGGGAACCTCATACACTGCAGCGTTGCATTTGGCGATCCATTCAAAGTCCAGGGCGCTAGCAGCCTCCAACTGGAGTGCTTCCACTGGCAGTTTCGTATTCGTCTTGCCCTTTTGAGAGTTCAACTTGCCCTCTAGCTTCCGCGCCGTACGCCGTAGATCTTCGATTTGGACGAGAGAAGCTTCCATCGCTCGACAGTCTGCTAGCTCATCCTGGACGCCTTGAATAAGCATACCCAGATGAGTGTCGGCACCCAAAAGACCAGGCTCCCCTTTGCAGCCCATCAAAGCGGCCGATAGACCCACACGGTTAAAGGTATCCGGATGCCTGTTCACGACTCCAGCACCGACTGGTGTCGTGAGTAACTGACAGACTACACGTATAGACGACCACCGGCAACTCTCCGTCTCACATCAACGCGTCTGCCCTGGTTATCCTTTATTTCCTCGGACTCCGTAGCAGCATCAGCGAGAGCCTGAGAGTCTCCACGATACACTTCCACACTATACTGGCGCTTACCTTAGTTGCAGCCTTCAGTTTAGCATCCGCACGCTCCATATTGCGTAGGAGCTTCTTAAGAGCGGCAGAATGCTCTTTCAAGAATGCCCTTGCCGCCCCCAGTCGATCCTCGACTCCCTCATTCCTCGCGATATCCCTCTCAGGATCGAACTCTGGCAGTTCACGATCAGGGAAGGAGTCCCGATACTGCCGACAGAGCTGTGTAACGCCTCTCGTGGCGAACTCCTTCTTCGCGGCCTGCTCCCACTGATGACCATCATGTCTTAGGAAAGTGAGGAACACTTGGGAGCGGCCGATATTCGACCGTTGCGTGCAGCGCTGGATGAATTTCGAGAGCACCATAGATTCAGAGTCGGCCTTGGTCTTTCCCATGGCGCAATAGGTGGTCTTATCAGCCAGCGGTGGGAGGAAGGCTGCCGGGAAGGACCTGGCCAGCTCTCGTCGGAGCAGCTTGCAGTCCCCATAGGACTTTCTGCTAGAGTACTCAACCCCTGCAGGATCGATAACCTATCGCACACTGTAACGAGCTAGAGCTACGCAGTAGTATCACCATAAGAGTCCACACATACTTCTTACGGAAGGTCGCCTGGTTCTTAGGGTTACTGAACGATACCGACCAACTCCTCATATCACCGTTCTCATCATACCTGCTCACAAGAGTGCCGAATTCTCATTAGGGCCAGCTCATGCTACTACTACTCTCTGTAAGAATTTGGTAGGATGAAACGCTTCTTCGACAAACTAGCTCGTTTCGGAGAGGCGCTCGTGCTCCCCGTGAGTGGTGACGAACTCATGTTGCGCGAACTCACTCGCATACACAGCAAAGACTGCGGGCGCCAATACTGATTCCAGAAACACTGTGAGCCCTGCTCTTCCCACTCGAATCCAATACGGTGAAGAGGCAGACTACTATGGAGCTTCCTACAATGACAAGACCCTTCTACCGTCATAACTTCATTAAAATGGGATCAATTAACATAGGCTTCATACATATGATATCCTATCTCCACCTGGACGCACAGGTCCTTGGTACCCCACAGTGGCCTGGGTTCTTGGATTCGGGCCAGCGCTGGGTTGATTGAAATCCGGCGAGTAAGCCGGCGGTTGAGTTGAATGCCTTACGGGCGCCATCTCGTACTCTTCTAGAGGACGAGCATCTGTCTTATACATAGGGACCTCGCGACCATCCTTCATATCGTCTTTAAGGACCATGTAAACTGAGTGCTCGAACCGGCCTTGGTAGACATCCGCATCAGCTTCGATAGCGAAGCAAAAGAATATAGTGTCGATACAGGATAACATGACATCGGCCAGGAAATGGAAGAAGGAGTAGCACACAGAACCAATGAAGAGGGCCCCAGTGACGGAGTTGACAGCCTGTTGGGCATGTACTTGGTTACTCGTGTTACAACCGTCCTTACCACATGTCCAAATGTGCAAGGTCGGTGCTAGCCACGATATTAAGACGATAGTGATCACTGGACAGGATATTAATCCTGCAAAGAGTAGAAGCACTGGAATTAGGAGATACCAATTGAGCTCAGTAAGAGTCTGGTAGCCCTGTGCCTCGTCCAACCACACCCATGCTGCTATCCCTATACCAAGGGAGAAGACGTATGTACAGATAGACAACTGAAAGCACAAGGCGATAAGGATTAGTACCATTTATGATGCTACTCACCATCGAGTGCCCTACGCCATCAGTGATGAAAGCAGAACCAAGACGGTCTTTGACGAGACTGAAAGATTTCCTTCCCGCACCGCACAGCCCCTTGCCCGAGAAGACCTGAAAGTTGATCCAATGAGGCGATTCAAAGACCACCCCACTTTACCTGTCCGATCAACATAAACTTTGAAAACATCTCGAGGACACCTAGGCAGCAGCTGGCCAGGCACTTGAATATGCACGCTATAGGGGACAGATACCATGGGAGACAGCCACACGCACTGTTGATCCTATTGATTATGAACCGAGTAACACCCACGATAGTAGCGGCGAACATGACAGCTCCCGAGCTCGATGTAAAGGCCCATTGAAGACCCCTCATTGCAGGTATGGTCGGCTCTCCATCACCACCTGGGAAATACCACGCACCGATACCCGCAGCACAGACAACCGTCTTCATATTGAGGAATACGTAGGTGAATACCCAAAAGAGTATGCCGTATACAACCCTAGCCACTTGAATCCACTCCGCATCTTTCAGAGTGCAATCAGACTCTTTCACGGTCTTCGCCTGTGCACTACGTATCATGAAGATAGTCCATAGAACCACGTAGACCACGTAGATGACCTTAACAACTAAACTTGTCACGATCACTGATGGCGTCTTCCTAAGTCCGTAAGCAGCTACAGATATCACTTTACATGCCCGATTGATTGATCGGAAGAGGAATATACAGGATAATACCACCACTCCTGCGCCCACCAGAAGCATCCAGTTGTTAACGTCGTGTACAAAGTACCTGAGAAGGATCCACTTCTTTAGGTCGTGATTGGACACCAACCAGAAACAGTCAGACAGAAAACAGCGCTCCCTTATTACCAATAGCACCACATGCCTATCAGAAAAGCTACGCCTCCAATAATCGTCGACCAGACCAATGGTTTCACCAGGTACTGCATGCCAAGCAACCATATGATGCCAATGACCACCATAGATGGGAATATAGCGGTAGGGATATACCAGTAGTCTCCAAAGGCTTCCCATAAATTACTTGCGACCTGAAGGCCCACGACTCCATGTGAGGATAGTGCATCACAATATGCCTCACCCTCTGGCCCTCCGCTTCTGATTGTAAGGAAGCAAGAAGAGCAGACGAATGTGATCGACTTGCAGCGCACTGCCGCAGCTCATCACAGAGTTTGGAGTTCACACAGCCAAACGCACTGAGATGATAGTCATCACTCCCTCTGTGCACTGTGGCCTCGCCTACTTGATATCGAGGGGGTTGGACCGACTCACCCTGCAATGCTCAGCAGCTAGTACAAAGTCGGCTGGACAGACTGCGTTCGACTGAGAACAGGCCAGTGAATACCACTCCATTCCCACTTCTATGAATGACAAGAACATGGTCACAGAATTCGAACACAATTGTGACGTCTATCCGGCGGTTGGCTCAAATCCTCATAAGTAAACGAGCGGCACTGATTACAGTGATGTAACAAAATACGGTGTACTTACTCCTTCACTTTCCACATAGGGAAAGGCATAGTTCCGCGAGCCTATGATGACGAATCCTGCAATCAATTGCGCCAGAATGCACGCCCAGAAGAGGCCAATACATATCCAGTCAAGTGGACCGAGGGCAGACCTGAGAAAACTCGAGATACTGACCATCTACGTATAGAACTCAGATCATGGATAGTGAACAGATGCATACTTCCTTCCAAGAGCACTACCTATTGCGCCACTTGATGCCCGGGGCAAAGCCATGGGATGGCTCTGGAACAGAACCCACTGGATTCTCCATCGTGACACGCTGTTTGTTCAACTTGCCAATCGCCATTATAAACTACAGACTACTACAATCACGGGCACAATATTTTCTCGATGAGGGTGAGATCTCTTATGAAAGATGAGATGAGGCCCTTGGGGTTTCAATCTCACATCAGGTGATATACAACCGACATCAGTAGTATCATCGGGCATGAATGTATTCCCGCTGTACTCTAATCTCGCGCACAAAAGGTATTCGAATTTAGCGCTCGCCTTAAATACAGACTGTGACATGGATACATTGTAAGACTTGAACGGAGGTGACTCCAACTACACAAGTGAAACTAGAGAGAGACCTGCGAGTTTAGTGACGGGATAATAGGAACTTCGCTACAGCACTCAACTACAAATGCCACGACTTCGATCGAAACAACTTCGTAAACTGGCCAACATGGTACCGCGCCGTTAGAGGTTATTATACAAAACAGACTGAGCATTATTAGGAGTAAAGAAGCATCATAAAAGATGAAGCTGCTGCATAGATCGTCTCCTCATAAGAGCTACACTACTCTAAGACGACTCGCAAAGAGGTTCAAGGCTCAAGTCCATCTGGACCGCCATGTGATCCGAGAGGCCCGCTTTAGCAGAACATCGTGGAAATGTCCAAGTTGCTCCATGCGTCTCGAAGTGCAGCAACCCCTTCATCCTACAAGGAAAGCCCGACCCCGGACCTAAAAATACAGCCATAGTTCTCGATCACGAGACTCACAGATCTGCGTCATACCGTGTCGACAGCCATCAAAATAGAAAGGACTAACTCCATACAGACCATCCTTCCCACGATACAAGTTCTTGGGTAGAAACCCGTCACGAAGTTCCACAGTCAACGCGTGATAACGAGACCTGGAAAGGCCATGGTCACGACCACGTTGGAGCGCGAGGCCCTTCAGAATGACCAACCTACACTGAATTAGGGGCTCCTCGAACGAACCATGCATCGTAAGCAGCAAGCCAGTTATGTTCATGTTGGGTGGTGAACCTCGGCAACGACAACGGTGTGATGGTATCATTCTTCCCGGCAGAGTAGACACGCCAGTCACGCGACCGGGACTGGAAAATAGGCAGCAGGTCGTATCTGCTGCCAGAGGCAACCTCGACTACCACACCAGGCAACCTCCTCACACGTGAGCATTCCAATCACCGCCCAGAACGATGAAAGATTCGCTCGCGTGGCTGCCGATCACATCATCAAGATGGTCCTGTAGTGCTCCCACTGTTGTACCCGCGTCGGATCTAATCGCTCCCGACTCAGCGTGCATGCTCCCGAATACAAACTTTTGACCTAAAACGATTATTGATTCAATGCTCCACCAATACATTGTCACTCACCCTCACGAGACACAGCCAGAACGATGCATCCGGGTATGTCCTTGGTACCAAAACTCAAAGGATGGATAGAAATGAAACGCTTCCGCCGCAGCATTAGGGGTGTCGCGAAGAGCGATGTAGCATTTGTCGCTGGTAACGGGCATGCCGCTTGCCACTCAGGAGTTGCCAGCTCTACCCTACACCAACCGTGATAGTCGAGACCAGGTAGTCGATTGAGCATCGCCTACTTGTCTATAAGACGAACTGCATTGTCGTGAGTGAACTCTACTTCCTGTAGGGCAATAACATCCTCATCATTCTGCCACTGCCGAATACGTTCAGCTTCACGCTCGAATCTCCAACTCGAAAGGATCTGCGAAGTACCGTTTCTGCTGAGACATAGTAACGTCAGAGCTACATCGCGGGCCTCATTGAGCGGAATACCCCGGCTTTCAGCCAACTCTGATGCCAGCTCGATTTCAGATGGAGTTCCCCACTGTGCATTGTATCTGCGTATAACGTCTTTCCCTGAGGTTTTGGTTCCGCCATACACAGCACCTACGCATCACCGTACTGCATAGTGCTCCACGTTACTAGAGACAACCGGAATGCTCCAACCACCGTAACCAGCAGGATATATAACGGCTTTCTCATGAGGCGTTATGCCAAAGAAATCACCTCGGTAACGAGAGAGTATGCAAAACCTGCACGTGCGTACACACATGCATGTGAGTAAGATACATGTACAACCGTTCCAATTAGAGGATAAGACTACTAGTCTAAGACTAGAGGCAACGTTGTCTGATTGGCAATCTCAGGCACACTTTGGATTCTAACCTTCGCCGAATGATACTTCACTTCTCCAACCCAACACTCTCGAGTCCGAGGGGCTCCCACATTGGTCCCAAAGCCCCATAGACTGTCGGCTAAGTCAACTCAACACCATCAGGACTAGCGTCAAGATGAACTCACATTGACTGCGTCACTCTCATTGATATCTGCTCTCGCACAAACTGACGAGGAAGAAATCATGAAACATCGAAATAGACCAAACCTGGCCATTATATAGTTCGGCGACTCTCGAGTTAGAATCAACCGTTGTGGCACAAGCTACGCGTTCTAGCCTGGGCTCTTCATACAAAATGTCATCGAATAGTAGACAGCCCGCTTCAAATATATCAGATAATTTCAAGGCCGGTGGTCACTGTCAATGTGAGCAGGAACCACTGCAGTGTAGCCACACAAGGCCTGGTTGGAAAGCACTGACACCTCAATAGGTTCCTTGAGACCGAGCGACTCCGGGGTGGCAGGGTTCGAGCCTTCGCAAGACGTACGCGGAGTTGACTGACAGTGTGGAGGAGCCAGGCTGCTATTTGAAGGGATATCCATATCTAAACTCTCCTTGAGCTTTGAATAGATCGGACCCTCTAATCTACTTTGATATAATTGAGCGTCGGCCTCAACAGCAATACAAAAGAACACTGTGTCAATAGAACATAATACGACATCGGCCAAGAAGTGGAAGAATGCGAAACAGACAGATCCTACAAATAAGGCACCAGTGACGGAGTTGATTGCTCTCTGAGCATTAGCCTGACTCGTCGAATCACACCCATCCTCACCGCATGTCCAACTGTGGAGCAACGGCGACAACCAGGTGACCATAACGATGGTGGAAATAGGCGTCGAGATCAACGCCGCGAAGAGTAGGAGCATAGGTATCAAAAGGAAGCTGTTGAGCTCAGATAACGTCTGGTATTGCTGAGAGGCATCTAGCCATAGCCAAGTTGCCACGCCAAGTGTAAATGAGAAAAGATAGGTCGCAGCGGTCACCACGGTATGACCAACTCCGTCAGTGATGAAAGCGCCACCCAGACGACCTTTGATAAGATTAAACGACTTTCGACCGGCCGCACAAAAACTGCCACCAGCAAAAACTTGTCCAATTATCGTGAACTTGGAAAAAGCTTCGAGAACACTCAAACAACAGCAAGTAAAGCATTTCCACAGGCATCCAAGGGGAGTCAGGAACCAGGGAAGGCAGTGACACGCGTTACCGATACGGTTGAGTATGAACCGAGTAACACCCACGATAGTAGCAGCGAACATGACAGCCCCCGAGCTCGATGTGAAGGCCCATTGGAGACCCCTCATTGCAGGTATGGTCGGCTCTCCATCACCACCTGGGAAGTACCACGCACCGATACCCGCAGCACAGACCACCGTCTTCATATTGAGGAATACGTAGGTGAATACCCAAAAGAGCAGACCGAACAGAAATCGAGCGAAACTGATACCGGCAGAGGTCCTCAAAGAGCAATTGCTCTTGACCAACTCCTTGGTTTGTGCAGACCTCAACATGAAGAAAGTCCAAAGTAATACGTAGCAACGAAAATGGCTTTCAAGAAAAGCACACCAACACGATGGACGGGGTTGAACGCAGCCCACATGCTGCGACTGACATCACTTCTGCGGCACGATTGACTGACTTGTACAGAATCGCACTCAAGACTACTGCGAGCCCCGCGAAGACTAGCAGCATCCAGTTATTCACTCCACATTCAAAGTTCCTGAGGAGGACGACTACAATGTGACAAACTAATAGCGATTTGTCATGGAGCTCACCAGAATGCCCATAGCGCGATGAGGAATACCACAGACGTCCCCAATGTAGACCACACCAGGGCCCTGGGGACATACTCGGATGCAAGTAGCCATAAAACAGCAATAACCACCATACTGGGGAATATTGTGGTAGGGATATACCAATAGTCAGCAAGAGCCTCCCATAAATCCGCAGAAACCTGAGCAAATGACAGGACCTTGACCATAGCTGATCGAGGCCACTCACGGCATCATCCAGGGCATTCATCATTCTTGATCTATTCGTGGTGAGTGATCCTTCCGTCTTAGCATAACAAGCACGAATGTTATTGCAAAGATCAGCGTCGACGCAGGCCAAGAGACTGAACAGATCGACAAATGCATCAAACATAGCTCCAACCAATAGTTCGCTAGAACCTCACAGGTGATAATGCAATTCGTTGGAATCCTGTTACCTTGGGTGTGGTAGTGATATTCCGTCGCCAACACAATCCGTCATAGCGAAGCTATAACCATTCGAACAAGGATAGCTCTGAGAAAGTGAAGCATCTCGAAGAGATGGGGACAAGCCGAGCAGATATAACGCTATAATATGGTAGAGCTCAATATCACTGCAGAAAATATTCATGATATTCACAAACTACAAAAATATCCTGGATGAGGTCAACTGAGGGAAGGGGAGTTTTTCTCAGCTCCTTGTCGATCAACACTCAAAAAAATCGGAATGCAGAGCAATGATCATCAGAAATTCTCCTCAAACTAACCTATCAGCAAGTCTGCATGGAGTGAAGGAGACGACGAGTGAATTTCCCGACTCAGTCTATTCCAGGGCAGCCATGGAGGAAAATTTGCAAAACCGTGCAGCACATAAAGAACAAATCCCAACAATAGTCCACCCAGACAACCTACCGGATCTGAGACGAACGGATGAGAATAGTTGGCAGAAGTCGCTATGACTATGCCGCAGACCAGCTGTGTGAGAGCACATGCCCAGAAAACAACGATACAGCAGTAGTCAAGGGCACCAGGCTTGGACCTGACCAAAGGTATCTCTCCAGTTCGAACATTCACCAACCCTTCGAAGATCTATTCAACCATTGTGTATAGAGCAACCACAGAGTGTGGAGTAAACAGTGCTACTCCAGAGACAGTAAATTAGAGGAACAGATCATTTCCCACCTGCCACCCCATTTAATCGAGGTTGTGAATCCATGTGAAGGAACGTCCTGCGACTCGCGATCATCACTCCTTCGAGTTGGCCATAGGTCTGTCCGAGGCATTATATAGAAATGTAGCACCACTTAAACCAATCCAAGACTCCCTTAATGGAAATTCCCTCCGACAAACACACCACACCATACATCACCCAAACGCTTCTCAAAAATCCAGCTAGGATACAACGCGTGCTGATTCCGTCACGACATATCGAACTATTTACTTTCAAGTGAGCATTCACCCCAACGGTTCATTAATTGATTTCTAGCGAACACGACACAATTGGCGAGCCGTTGATCAACTCCAGGCCAATTCGTAGAGTAGAAGATGAGTATCATCAGCCTAGTATAGACCTCCCTGAGGAAATCACCCTAAATTCAACGAGATGCAACGACAGTGACAAGCTAATGAGGAGCAGACATTTCACTACTGTCGACTCTCATACAAGGGATTGCCGTTCTACTTCAAGTCACTTGCAAGCAACACCACATCACCCAGGGTCGGACACCGTTCACTTACAACATGCCGCAGACAACGCAATAGTAACGATAACACTAAGTGGTGCCGCCACCGACGACAGGCCTTTTGTCGAGGACCAAGGAGGCTGCTTTGGCTGTGGAGGTGAGAATGCGATGGCTAGCTTCGGCTCTCATGTCATTCACCTGAAGCAATAATGCACTATACTAGGATCTCTAAATGGCTCACTCGTTTCCTATGCTGCTGTTCCCGCAAAGTGCGTTGCATGTAAAGCTCATCTTCCTGGAGGCTGCTCACCACCGGTATCAGCAGGAGGCCACACACTAACCATACCACCAGAGTGAACTGATAGGCGAGTGCTCGACCTCCTGTATAGGGTATCTGGCGATGAACTATGGACAAGCCCTAGCCATAACCTTACCAATAGAGAGACGAACAAAGTCCCAACACCTTTCGAGAGATCGTCGAGCACACTGTAAATTGCGAATATCGTGCCTAAGCCCGTGATGGGTTCACCTGGACCTACGGCTAATGCGGCATACCTCGATGCTGTGGGGGATTGACATTTAAGAGAATGGCACCTAAATTCGCAGCTGGAGTGGTAGCAATGACTCCACCAATAAATAGCGTCCCGAAAAAGGACAGGTGTAACATCTCCGTGGATCCAATATGGGCCTGCGACTCGCCAACCTGACAAGTGAGCTTTCGACTAGCCCAACCGCGTGATAAACAGCTACCGCATCCATGGCCTTCCCCATAGCTGCTGCTGCTAGCTGGTCAACCTCATTCGGCCCTTCCTTATACAGAGAAGTCCATCCAAAGACCGCGAAGAAGGGTATAACCCGTAGCAAAGACATAACCGAACAGAATAGAGCGCAGTACCTTATACGATGAAGATAACGATTCTCAACAATGAGCGGATTACCGTGGATCTGATCGGTAGAGCTTCTCACCGATGAACCCGCCTATGAGCACCCCACAGAAGCCTGCTAACCCCATGGTTGCCGTGGCGAAGAGCGCCAACTCTATAGAAAAACCCATGTCCTAAAGTGAGAGAGATCGCCTGAGCAGTGGCAACAACATTCATATACCTGGACCAAGAAGTCATGGAGATATACGATGATTATTCCCCATGGAATACCACCAGGAAAGGCTTGCAAGAGCACCAGAAGATTCGTCCCTAACGCCAAGAAGTAATAGACGCTATAGGCACTGCCCAACCATACGGGAATAGGAAGCCTGCTTCAGCTGATCCACATTATCAGCAAGCCACGTAGACCGGCTGGGCTGCTCCCTTCTATACGATAGATGGCCCTCTGTGTCAGCTGTCGATAGAGCGGCAGAGTCCGAAGGCTCTGGGCTACGGCTGATGAGTGTCTGTTTGGAGCATTTGATATCGGAAGAGCTACTCTAATCCTCACCGCGGTCTCGTCGTCCGTACCACTCGGATCAGCTCCGTCCATCGCGCCCCTAACCGGTTCTACCAATGTGCTCTGGAAATTTACGGTATAATAAACGATGATAGTCGTAAACCTACTTGGCACAGCACAGCTCCTGCAAGAGCTGGTATGGGTATGAGAAGGAAAGCCCAGCGCCAGTCTATGGTCTGGCAGGAATAATGATAAGACGAGACTCAGCAACTACTATTACCTTCCCTATATAGGCAGCAGCAACTTGCCCCATGAATACACCTACCCCACAGGCCGCTGTGACCATCGCTGATGCTACTGCTCGTTGGTCCGGAGGGAACCTACAATGCCGACCAGTCAGCACATACACTACGTACAAAAGCTCTGTTACCAGTCACCAACCATAGAGTATGCAACTGGCAAGGCGCCGCCTATACCAAGGCCAGCTATTGCACGGGCCCATAAGAGGGACCTAAATGTACCTACACAGTGATGAGGAGCCCTCGATAGGACTGCATGCCGAGGAGGTTACCGGCGAAGAAGGTGGTCATAGTAGCCAAAGCTGTGAGGGCAACCACCGCAGTGAGCAGTGTCTTGCGTGGGACAACAGCGGAGAGTAGACCGACCAAGAGGGCCACGAGCATACCAGGGGCATAGAAGACCAGCGTGAGCTCGCCACCCAGGTATCTGATCAACGACTTGAGATGGTAATGTGTCTCTGTGCAACATACTCATCTCGTTCCACGGCATTGAAATGGAACATCTTTGCCATCGATGTCATATTAGGTGCAACGAGGTTGTGTACGGAGTACCTAGCCCACTGCATTACTCCACATGGTAGGTAGTGGAACTTACATAAGCCCGAGGCACAGCATACAGACACTGATAGAATAGGTCGCGCTCTTGCCGCCGAGCCATGAGCTTATCTTATCCGATAGAGATACTCCCTAGCAGAAGCTCCAGAGTTCCGTCTCTGCGTACACTAGAGTACCTCTTCCACAGAGCGATCAGATGGTCTGTTATGTAGGTCGTGGTGAGACCCAAGGGCGCTGACCAGACTCGCTGTCACTTCAAGATCCGCCCGACCTTCACGAGAGATACGCTATGCTTCAAGTTGGCAGCTTACCGGGAGAATGCCCGTCTCGTTTCACTCTCGAATAGGGTAGGGGGGGAAGTAATGGCGTGATGAGTGAGATAGATTAAAAAAGAGCTACGAGACAACTTGTTACGGTTCCGACTCTCCCATCCTTGTACATGCGTGCGTACGCGAACACACAATGAGCGTGATCATTCTGCGCACTGGGTTATTCTGATCCTAGACAATTCTTTAGAATTGACGAACATGAAGCGAAGAAGCAGATGACCGGCCTTTACGACTCGAATAAGCCTAGAATGGACACAGTACATCCTCCTTACTCGTAGGCTGCACATTACGGACGACGACGACCAGATGCGACGCGCGCGCCCTGCCTCATTTTTAGAGAGACAGGAGCAAGTGACGACACGTCTCCGACAAACTGAGTGTTAACGGCTGAGTGTTGACGGCTGAGTATTGACGGCTGAGTGTCACAGCGCTTAGTGTTGATAAGCCATGTGTAACTCTTGGAATGTCCTGGATGTGGATCTGCTCTCATCAGAGCCCAGTGGGCTCAGCCCACCTTTCGTGCCTTTTTCTGGGGCGAGCTGGAGGTTGGATATAATTCGTGAGATATGCGCATAAATGAACCTTCGCTAAGTAGTTCAGTTCGACCTAAGTCGACTCTCGCGTCAGATTTTCATTAAAATGAAAGCCGCATCATCCTCTTCCTTCAGCAAACCCCCTACTGCTAGCAGCATCGGCCGCCTGAACGGCTCATCCAACTTCAGAACAGTTGTCAATTTCGCTTTAGTCGCGATAGGCGTTGGGATCCTCGCCCTTCCGAGAGCCATAGCTCAAGGAGGTTGGATAGTCGGCAGCCTTCTTCTCCTCATTGCTTGGGCTGTCTCCCAATACGCCATTTTCTTACTGTGGAAATGTATGGTCATGCCTCCTGACGGCAACGAGAAATTCACATCGTTTCAAGCAATCGGCCGTGAGTGCTTTGGCAGAGTTGGTGAGATTACCGTTTCTGTAGTGCTTTATGCTGACCTCCTCTTGGTCTGTTCTCTGCTGGTCATACTAGTCGGGGATGGCATGCATGAGCTAGTACCATCCGTCCAGCGAATATGGTGGTGTTTGATATTCGTAGGCATCATGATGCCTCTTGCATGGATGCCTACTATGAAAGAGGTGGCCTTCGTCTCGGGTTTGGGGATTGCTGCCGCCTTAGTAACTGTTATCATGATTATCGTTGCATCTTCGAGAGAAGCAGTGGACCCTGTGAGCCATCACGACTATGATTTGGTGCCATCCACACCGATGTATGCAACACTATCGTTTACCAACTTTATGAATGCCTTTACTGTAGCACCCGTCGTGCCCACTCTGATAAATGATATGAGAAGTCCCATGAGATTCCCACGAGTTTCTGTCATTGGGTTCCTCCTGGTCTTCATTATCTTCGCGTCAATCGCCTTCGCAGGATACGCTGGTTTTGGTAGCAGCCTGCTGGACTATTCCAATGTTACCCTTGCTATTGCTAGTGGACGGTCCACCACAGACTGGGTGGTCCTAGTTGTACAAATTGCCATTGAAGTCGTTTCATTCTGTCATTTTCTCGTTATGTTCAACCCCGTTTGTGTTGGGGTTGAAAGCGCTCTACAGCATCTGCGTGGTAGATCCGTGCCGTACTGGATCAAGATGATAACAAGGTCTGTGCTTATTGTCATTTGTTTTGTAGTCGCCGTCAGTGTGCCTGGTTTCGGCTCATTGGTGGATCTACTGGGTGCCACGTTAGTGATGCTGCTACAAATAGTGTTCCCTATAACTTTCTATTTAGTCTTGAGACGTAAGTATAGCAGATCGTCTGTATCGCCTGTCAAGGGCGAAGGCAAACTGCTACGTTACGCAGAAGCTACACTGATGATCCTGTGCCTTTGCCTCGCTATCGCTGGGATGGTATTTGGGACCTGGTCTGCTGTCGTTTCGTGGTAAGTAGTTGTCCTGTATTTCGAGATTACTCACGTGTTTTAAGGCTTTCGCCGGAAATTCTCATCCCTTTCGCCGCATTCAAGATACTTTCCACTTGGTGGATATTTTTGGCAAGGTGCCAGTCCAGTGTTCAGCTGTGGTCTAGGGTTATTCTTGTCGAGTCGTCGTTACATTTTCCCATCTATTTTCATAGTTGTGTTGTTACGGCTGGTGGTCGGTTACGAGCTTTCGGGAGCTCCGTCTTACTTGGTATTCAACCGAAGTGTTTCGGTTCACTATGTCATGATCCGTCGACCTCCAGCAGCAAATACAAGGAAAGAAAAAACAAGTAGAGGTGGAGCACTGAACTCGCATGGATGTTTCACTCTTTAGGCGTAGGCTCTTCTGCTAGAGTAGCTAACACACGGCAGGGGAAGCAAGTGCCGGTCAGTGGCGGAAAGCGGTAGCGCTGAGGAGGGCATTACGCTCGTGTTACTACGTGGTCGATCTCAGGCCCAATGAAGTAGAAGTCCCGAAGGGTGGAAGCGATCGGTAGGACCTCGGTCGTCCGTGGTGGCCCGACTTGTGATATGTTATTGCATGCTTCGCTCAGTCTCGCCGGTCAAAACCTTCTCGGTCAAGCCCAGGCTGAGTTCGATCGTCTTGTATCGGAGTGCGGCAAATTACGGAAGCACCTGGCGGCGAACCAGCAGGCGTCGGAGTCGCAGCGAACGACCATTGGGGAGCTGGAAGCTAAGGTAGTTTAATACGATGAACAAAGAGCCTCATGGTTCGTCTTAAGCTGAATGAATCTCAAGCGGAGATGGACGGGTTGAAGAGAGAGGCCAGTGATCGGGAGGCTGAGCTACGCGAGTGGGTTGTGATTGCTGATCTGGGACGGGGTGGGATGTCCCTTGGCTGTAGGTCCCTTTCGGCTGCCAAGAGCAAAATAAATGATCTTCAAATGATGAACAAGAGAATGAAGGAGGAGCTCGCCGCAGTTCGAGAGGGTAGCTATTCGGGCCTTCGGGGTCCGACGTGTGCTCGCTCAGAATCGGAGTCACGGCGACAAACATGCGATCAGCTCGGGGAGCAAATTGCGAAGCTGCAAGCTGATAGCAAGACTAGTGTCGCTGAAGTCGCCTCCCTTCGCGAACATGTGCGTTCGATCTTCTGCTCTGTAGACTATCATGCGCATCGGGGTAGGTGCATCGTCTGCAGGGCAAAGATGCACAACGGGGAGGCTCCCGAACTACGAGAAACCACAGGAGGTCGACTTGCAATGGAAGTTCGTTTGGATGTTGTCAGTGTTAGGCATAGGGAAAGGGTTTACCGCCAGCCGGTCGGACAGGGTCCGATGCGGCAACCAGATAGCAGCGGCTCTTCAACAGGAAGCAGTACGGTTGAGGTAGCATTGGAGGATCAGGGCTGGTCATCATGTCTACAGTGCAGGTATCGAAAGGGAACACAGACCCGCAAGAAGATAACTTAGCAGCCCTCCTTGAGAAGAAAAGCCGGGAGGTCTACTCGTTGAAGCGGGAATTAGGTCAGACGAGTTTCGGCCTCTCTATGATGCCTTTGAAGACACTATCAATTTCAGAGATCGCCCGCAAAGACAACGCGGCGATGTATGCAGCGCTGAGGGCCAATAATCTGTGAGGACCAGTTTCCACCTCCGTTTTCGCATTTGGTGGCAGCTCAGTTGAGCTTATTCGGTCTCAGGATCAGCGCTCCACCTTCTGTTGCGCACCCTCCTCTCCCC